ATAATTCTCAAAGAACTACTGATATTCCTGAAGCCCACAATTACTGTGATCTGTACTGTGAATACCATGAGGTTTGTCACTGCTGTCCTTACAGTATGTCAATCTTGGCAAACGTTTTTTCCTACATGATCATCCAGAACCTGGTCTATAGATGCAAGAATGTTTTTTTGAGCATTGCTGCCAATACTGAAGACCCACCAATGTGACACATCCAACATGTTCAGACACTCTAATAAGAAATAAAATAGTTCTGCATCTGTGCGATATTACCTGCTTGCACTGGAGTATCGCTACACTGAATAGTGGAACATCAATAATTTGATTATGTCATTATTTTCACTTTGAGAAACTTGTGCTATTCATTTTAGCTGTTGTTGCAGGTTCTCAAGTAACACAACTTGTTATTTAGTACAGTTCTTTGTGTTTCTGTAGTGCCAGTCAACAACATTTGAAGGAGGATGGTCTTCATGAAGACCTACAAGCTTCATTTGCTCAAAGCCATTTTTAACAATTGATCTGAGAAATTAGTTGTATACAGCTGACAATTTGGATATTTCTGAATAAGTTTGGGGTCAGGCATGACAACCATATGAAAGTCTTGATCTGACAAGGCTATTTAAGAAAATAACTAGTTTTTAAGTTAATGTTTTGATTCTGTAGTAATTTATGGTGTTGAGAAAATCTACCTCTTGCAGTCTATTCAATTTCCTTAGGTCCTATAATAAATTTGTTATAACCAATTCATACAGAGTTATTTTAAAAGTTTAGTATTTACTAATTAACATACTGAATTTTTATGATGGATTTAAGGTAATTGTCATCACTTTCATTCCAATTTCAGATCAGTTTCTGCTTTAGAAAGGTTTATTTTGGGTCTTATTTTTTGGAGTACATGGTAGAGGACATTAATTGATTTTTTGTTCAAGATTATTCTTATCCCAACTATGAATACCTAAGTTATCAGCATAGCCTCCTTCATTATCAGCACATTAGCCTCAGAAGGGAATGCAGGTTTGCTATTTTCTATTAGTAGATTCCTTTAGAATATTTGTACTTGTTGCAGCATTCATTCAGAATTGGTTGAGCCAGCTGTGCCAAATGAATCTGCCACATCCTGGAGAACATGCAAATTCATAGGAGTTTCAGTGGGAATTTGGATTCACAAGTAGCCCTGCCACATGTATACACACTTTAGGATAATGCAATCCAAGTAGTTCCAGACGGGTTAAAATTCAAAGTTTTCCCCTCTCCCAGACTGGCTGTAAATCAAGGCTAAAATCCCAATCTGTCTTGCTACTTACCCATAGCTGGGGGGAGTGAAAGAGATGGATTCATACTTTTCCCAAAGATATTAGCACATAAATATCCATTACTCCACCATGCCTCCTATTCATTTAGAATGTGGTTAACTACTGAAGTAATGTCTAGATTTCTCTTTCAGTAGTCAGTTGAAGATCTGATATTAAAAGTATAATGGATTTTTTAAAAATTTCAGATTCTATATATCAAAATACAGACAGAAATTTTCAGATTTTTTGTTACAAAGAAATAAAACCCATTAAGCCAGAACAGTTTATTGTAACCTAATTGAGCACAAGGAAACTGAAATCAAAATGTTAAATTTACTATTTACTCACTTAAAAGCAGCCCTTGGTGGCCCCTACTATTTATAGAATTGATATTTGCAAACAGTAATTTTCATTAAGAAAATTATTATTTAAGTAATGTCAATAGTATTCAACTATAGATGACTGAAAGAAAATGCAGAAAAAATGAAATAAGCAGAGAACCTGTTTTCTTAAAAACTTCTTGTTTGTGTTATAATCCGAATTTTCTTTTCTAGAAAGAAAATTCGGATTTTGCCAACAAAAAAAAAAAAAAAAATTTCAAACATCCAATTTTTAGCTTTCTAGAAAAAAAATTAACAAGGATTGCCAAACACAGGTGACAGTTGTTGTTGATAGTAGTAAGAAAAACATTAAAAAAATTGCCTAGAAACTTGTAGCCTCAAACAAACTGGGAAACTGCTTTTGTTTGTTAAATTATCATCCACAAAATTTTACAGTTTTTGCTTTCTAGAAAGAAAATTCGATTGCCAACACAAACAGAATGTCTCATATCGAGAATATTCCACATTGAACATGAAGAAAAAATTAATTATTTTTAATAATATGTAAAAATCTCCACTTTCACCTGAAGACGGTTAAGGGAGAAAAAAAAAAATCGAGACTAGACCAGAAACACGGTCGTGAAATTATGTAAAAATAAAGTATAATATTTTTTTCTCAATAAATCCTCATTACAACCAAAAACGTTTATGCACCCTCTTTTTTTTTTTATATATATATATATATATATATATATATATATATATATATATATACACACACACACACACAAACTGATTTAAATTAAAAAAAAAAAAAAGTTATCAAATCAGAATTTACAAAAAGGCAAGTGATAAATAATTATGACATACTAGTACACAATGGCTACATTTGTGAAGAGATTATAAAACTACAGAGGTAAGTTTTGAAAAGCAAAATTAAGAGTAATATTATATTCAAGTCTTTTACAAACCATTATTTCATTCTATCAAGTGTTTTTTTTGTTTTTCTAAAAAATCCCATCACGGCTGTTTAAAACCCTTGTTTTTGTCATGTAGGAAAATCCAACATTGCGTGTAAACGAAATATTCGGCAAAAAAAATCTCATTCGTCAGTAACATTTTAAACACCTCATAGAATGTCAAGTTCTTAAAGAAAACCTATGCCAAAGTGTTTTCCTGAATCCTTGATGACTTGGCTGTCCGAAAATGATAATATCAAGATGAAATAATGGAAACTGACCGTGAAAAATACAATTATGCGCAACAGGTTTTCGATCAATTAGTAAACTTCTGGACCTTTTAGGGCGACTTTATAGGATCCAGACGGCTATTGTTTGCACATGGAATTATTCACTGGTAATTAATCTTCGATTTGGCTGTGGAAAATGTCACTCGGCGGTTAGCATTAAGAAATTATGCCCAATTTTCTGAGAAAAATCCTCCTTTTTTTAATGAAAAAAATATTTATTTTCGCTTCAAAATAACATCCTTCAAAATTCATTCCTTTCTCTTTCATTTGGCATGAACATCATTGAATAAAAAGAATGGCTAAATGGGCCGGCGATGGGAAATACGAAAGATATGCGGTGAAAAAAAAACAATGTCGTCTGCTAAGTGTTGTTGTCATCACCCGGGTCACTGGGTGTTAAAAACAAGACAAAACTCATCAAGCCATTGTTCAAACATAGGTTATATCAAGCCCTAGTCATTGTGAACCCTTTTTTTTTTCACTCTTTGCTTTTATCTGGGAGTGGTGGGTTTTATTACAACTTGTTCTAAGGTTTGCCGTTTATTGCTGGCTGACCGACCTTTGACCTAGACGTCAAAGTCAATTAGGTTTAATTTTCCTTATCGCTATTTTTTTGAAAAAAAAAAACAAAAAAAAAAAAAAAAAAACAACCCCGTTTGGTTTCTGGTGGTTAGGAATTGCAGATAAATCTCTTGCCTTTTACTAAAGATTTCCGTGGCTGGGTGTCAATTTTTTTTTTAACCCTTGGCAGTCATAATTGAAAATTAACAATGGATTTTGTCGCATTTTGTTCACCTAGGAATGTTGATTTCCTTCAAAACTCAATTTTATGCCTGAAATAGAGTGATTATGATTTAGGCTTTCTGATTTTCAAAAAAAAAAAAAAAAAAAAAAAAAAAAAAAGGTTAATTTCCTATAAATGGGGGAAATATTTGTTTAGAACAAGAAAAAAATGCAAAATTTTCACTATTTTTTCACATTTTACCCACTAAAAAAAAAATTTGAGTCATTTACACCAGCTAATTTTACTTTTAAATGAAAGAATATATCCTTTGCTTTCAGAAAATACCTAGTTTCATGGGGTTCAGATCAAAAGTTTCCTTGATATTAGTTTAGATGATGATAAAACGGTCATTTTTCAATATTTTACCCTTATAAAATTATGAAAATCCATTTTTTGAGAGAAAATAAGCTGTGACAAAATGACTTGCCATTTTTGTGATGATTTTCACTTGGGAAAGACAATTTTTACCATAGGAAACCCGAATTGACTTTATTTAAGTTCGGTGGGGCTATAGGAAACCTCAAACAGCTGTGCCATGCCCTTCCAGGATAGAGGTGATCATGGCTTCCCAGAGATTCTATTTCTTTTATTATCTGGGAATTGTCAGGACTTCTTGGAAAAGACAGCTGAGTGGTTTCTTCTTGTACTCCATTCTTGAATTCAGAATTGCTCTTTATCTTGACTAGCTGCCACCCAAGGCTAGAGAGCCCAATCTACTCTGCTAATTAAACTATAACCTTGAAGAGGTGGCACAGAAATAGATTCAGGTCTTTCCAAAGGGCATTAGTGCAAAGTAAACCGACTCAGAATATGCCAAAATCATTCTGCACCAATAACTGTTAAGCTAGCAGAGAAATACTGAATCTATTTTTCATAAAATGATAACCAAGTAAAAAAAAAAAAAAAAAAAAAAAGAGACAATGAAAGACTTAGTTTGGTTTAAAAGATTTATGCTATGATTTATATATAATTACATTTAAATGAAAAGTAAGTTAGCAAGAGCCCTACCAATCAAGAATTCTCCCACACCCAACAATTTTTTTTCTTTATTACTGTTAGAATGGGTTGTTTCTAGTCATAAATTATCTTATCCACCATATCCTTTGCAATCTGAAGCTATCATCAGATCAATAAAATTCAAGTAATGAAAATCAATTTCTATAATTTCTAGAAAATGTGCCTAGTACAACTTAAATTCCATTTACAATGATAAAGCAAAAAAAATGAGTCAAATGTTAAATACCTCAAAGAGTCTTCATGTAAGACAAATACATTGGATAAAGAAGCAACAAATTTGGGCACTCATTTAAACAACTTGAGAGAGAAAGGAAGAAAAAAAATAAAAATAAAACACTCACCTATTCCTAGATGAGTGTTTATACTAGCATATCTTGCAGTCCCAGTAAGATTTTTATTTTCTCGATAAGGAATATGTTGATGTGTCCTTGCATCTCTGTACTTTTTTGCAAGTCCAAAGTCAATAATATAAACTAAATTTCCTTTTTTGCCTAATCCCATAAGAAAATTATCTGGTTTCACATCTCGATGGATGAAATTTTTTGAGTGAATATATTCAATCCGACTGATCTATAATGAATACAAAAAGAAAAACATGTCAGATGAATTGAAGCAAAATGGTAAAACAAAATATGTCAAAAAAGTGAAGTTACAAGCTGGAAACTATAATCATGATTGTCAAATAAGTTGAGAATTGGCAGTAACAGCTAAGAACATTTTCCAATAATTATCATTGACAGAATAAGAAATTATGGTTTCACCTAAAGTTAAACATGAAAAATAGAGGATTAGAAACTAAAAATATTAAATACAATTTGGTCAAAATTGCAAATGAAATAGGATAATATTACCACTTTATGGTAATAAGAAAAAGCTTATTAAAAATCTTGAATTTATTCAACTTCCAAAATCCTCACAAATTAACAATAACAAAGCTGAAGGGGAAACATGTCAGATATATATATATATATATAGCTGACAAACAGGTTTAGGAAAAATTACCCGTACTAATTGCAAATATATAAAAAAAAAAAAAAGATTTAATTAAAATATTTAAAAATAAATTAAGATTTAATAATGTTTAGCCTATTAATAATGTGCATCATAAAATTTGGTATTAATTATAGATTAAAGAAAAAAGATAGACTAATAAAATACCTGTTATAAATTATAGATTTCTACTTACAACCACTGAATGCCTGACATTCAGGCTTGGGGAATGTGTTTAAAAAAAAAAAAAAAAAAAAAAAAAAAAACTTAGAAAATAGAAATGAATATCAGTTGATAGAGAATGACTTACCAGTTGATCTGCAAGCAACAGTACAGTTTTGAGACTGAATTTTCTTGAGCAGAAATTGAAGAGGTCCTCCAGACTTGGGCCTAGAAGTTCCATCACCATCACATTGTAATCTCCCTCAGCGCCACACCATTTGATGGTCGGAATGCCAACTACAAGAAAAAAAATAAATAAAAGCAATCAAAACATTCACTTCAAAGTTTATCAAGAAGTGTATAATTATTACAATCCCTAAACTACAGTATCAAGTTTTTTTTTTGTCAGCAACTTTGGCAAACAAATCCCAACTAAAAAGATAAAAACTATGAGGATAAAGTGAATCTTTAAAATGGATTATTAGTTATGACAGCCAAAACTATTCTTCTTAGATAGCCAAAATTTCAGATTTTGTCATGTCAATGCAATAAATTTCAATTTTTTTTTAAAAGCAGACATTGTAAAAGAATACAAGTTATTGCAATAACTAAAGCTCATTTTCAATATGGGCAAATCTTTTCATGGTGTACTTTATATCTACTATCATAAAACAATAACTCAAATTAAAAATAAGCAGGCTTTGAATGCTATATTTTGGTATGCACACTATCCACACACTATATAGTATGCATATTGACCGATTTATATAAAACCTATGAAATAGCTATGCTATTTAGACAAAACTTAGGAAAATTAATATCAGTTAGATTCTGAACTCAAAGAACCTTCAGAATAAGTGCTGCAATATCCTTAACCTTCCAAGGTCAGTTTCTCTATTATTGATATGAAGCTGAAAGCAGATTATATCATGTAATATTCTTAATTTTTAAAAAAAAAAAAAAAAAAATCATATTTTTTTTTTTCATTTATATAAAATTTAAGTAAATGCTCTATTTTTTTTTTAATTAAACAGTACCAGCCTGAATGTTTCTATAAAGAAAATTTATATTTATAAAAATAACATAAATGGAAAATATATTAATTGTTGAACTTAATCCATTTCATATGTTGTCAATGTTTACAAGGTATATGTTGTGAGCAGATATAATCAATCAAGAAAAATCTTCAAAGGTGTATGTTTATAAACAAAACTTCAGACTTTGCTAAACAGATGCTTTTTTGTGGCTAAATGGTTAACAGCACATCAGATCAAATGATGGTTCCCATTAAGGGTTACAGGTTCAATTCCTGTCAGAGAAGCACATAGTTTCTACAAAATTTCTCTAACATTCAGACCAGCAAATAAATGTAATTAATACTGTTTAATTAAAATCAGAGCATTTACTTAAATTATATCTATAAAAATAATATAAACAGAAAATATATTAAAATAAATGGTAGACTTAATCAATTTCAGCATTATATATATATATATATATATATATATATATATATATATATATATATTGGGTATCAAAATTAACCATCCAATATTGGTAAGCCTAGTTGTCAACTAATTATTTAACAAATTAAGAATAAATATATCCTAGATGATATACAGAAAAGATGAAAATTTTGAGAGAAATTAAATTAATCCCAGCAAAAATATTTCAGATTTTTTTTTTTTTAAAGACTTTCCCTGAATAGATGTAAATAAACAGAATGAAAGAAAATATATAGATTTAAAAGCAATAGAAAAATGCTAAACATCTTTTTAACTAGTGCATTAAAGTAAACTGCTAGATATTAAATATGCTTTATAGTAGGTACCTACAGATTCATGATACCTAAATTTAAAATTAATTTTTAAAAATGAAAAATCTTTAAAGCTTTTATTTTAGTTTTAATTTCAAGCTGATTATTTAAAAACTAATGTAAATTGATTGGAAGAAACTGTTTGACATTTCTCAATTTTTTATTTTGGCACCATTTTAGCAAACTGTTATAAAAATGTAACTTACTTTAAAATATCACAAAAAGGTATTTTTTAACACGATGGTAGCTGTTTATTTATGTTGATAATTTTTTAGCAGCTCCATGACAGCTTTTATTTAAATAGTCGTTTCAGAAAAGTATATTTTACTATTGGAAGATTTTTTTTTAATAAAGAGATTTATGTTTTTATAACAGTTTGCTAAAAATGGTGCCAAATCAAAAATTGCATTGCATTTTTACTTTACAATTCAGAGCAGATTTTTGTAAGATGGGGGTTTGATTTTACAAAAAAAATATTGCTGATTTAAATTCTCCAAAGTGTTCTGCTTTTGACTATTATAGCCACTAAAAATTATCTCATTGAATTTCTCAAGTTTTCATAAAATGAAGTTGGGTGAAACATGAAAAGAAAAAATAAAATTCTATAATTTCATTTGTGAATAAGTTCTGAAAGTTTAGTTAAAATTTGACAATTATTTGATTTTTGCAAGAATTTCCAAATTAATGTGTCTTTCACAGCAAAAAGAAGATACTAAAATTTGCTATGCTAATTTATAGTACATCCACCAATGCAAGAAAAAGGTTTTAAACAAAATTTTGAATGTCCTAAAAAAGGATTAAAAAATTTAATTATATAATCAAAAAATACTTCGACCTTTCCCCTTAATAAAGATTTTGACAAGAAAACTGTTTTCATCAAGTTGGGAGCATTTTTTCATCATGGTACACAATTTGTTTTAGAGATTTTGTGGAGGTACTTACTTTATAGTTAACAATTTAAATTTTATAGGCACATAGAAAACAAGCATTTTAATATATAAAATAAAACTTACCTCCACCTTGCATCATTCGGTAGATTTTACTTTCGATGTGAAGCTGAGGGTGCTTGGTTTTTACACATTCTAACTTAATTGCAACCTCCTCACCATTGGATATATCGGTACCTGTAGAAGAATTTTTAGCTTAGCCATCACCAATTAACTAAAACACAAAAACATTACTAAAAATACAGTAATTAAAACAATTGACAAAGTCTTACAATGCGATTTTAAAAGAATAGCATCCTTATCTTGAACTTAATGATTATTAAAAAGAACTCAAAGATCATAATAGCTATCAAAAGAAGGTGAAGTTTAAATCAGATTTTCTTCAAACTAACAAAAATTACAAAATTAAAACCCATTATATATAATTTTTTTTTAAATTTAAAGTTTAACTTCTGACACATAAGGTACCTACCATAAACAAAAATACAATATTTTATTGAGTAATTAATTTTTAAAAGAAATTAAATTCTCCAAAAGAAAATTTGTTTATAAAATGAAACATTTTATTTGGAATGTTAATATTTATAGGGGCTCTAGCACAGTAGCTTAACAAAATGAAAAAGAAAAAAAAAAGAAAAGAATTTATCTTGTATGACCTCAAGAGAGAGAAAAATATAAATCAGCCCAAATGATTACTTTGTGGATACCTGAGAAAGTGCTTGACATCAAATGAAAGTCATGGCAACATTCAGAGAAAAATTTTAGAAACTCCTTTTATGTTTAACATTTTCATATTTATATTATAATTACTCATATTGCAATGTTCCATCACCTGCTACATATTCAGGATAGAAAATATTAAAAACATTTTGTAAACAAAGTTTCTGCATTATGTCTCTCCACAATGTGGATGCACATAACTTCCTGCATTTTGTTGCCCTTGGTAATGCTTGCTCTTTTATGACCTTTTTGTATATATAACAAACCACTTGAAATGGCTAAAGAAGTGGTCAAAAGCACTTGGAACAATAGACACAACAATTTTTACGCTCACTTACCTCCAAACGGAAAAAAGTTTGGATATTAGAATAAATTCAAATTTTACTTGTCTGTCATAGTCAACGAAGCATTTGAAAGAAAAGTTGCTGCTCAAACATTGTGTGCACATGCACACAGTTGTCACTTTCTGAATATCAAGAGTTTCTTCATAATTCCTACCTGAATTTCTGAGATGAGGAGTTATTATTTACACTATTTATATTAAGACTATAGTCCTTATCTTTGTTGTAGTGCCCTCCGACCTTTCTCAGGTATATATTGATCTGGGTAACCTACAGGAAATTCTGAACTAAACCCTTTATTTAATCTACAGGGGTAAACTGCTCTTGTTACACTGCCCAAGTTTAAGAATATTGTCTAGTTCTTATTTTTTAGCACTGCTCAGTTACTGCTCACTCTTTTCCATAGAGTCCAAATACACACTTCTCAACTCAGAGATTGAACTCACAACCACTATGTCACCAAATCCATTAACCAACACTTTAATCCACTAGGCCATTGTCCTACAGATTCAGTAGAAACAGGCAAGTAATAACTGAGCAGTACTAAAAATAAAAACTAGACTACATCCCTAGACATTAAAATTTGTCTCATGCTACGTCTATGTTAGTTTGTAACTTCAAGTCTCTTCTTCATTATTTGAATGTTATATTAATACTTATTGTAAGCTAGAGTATTGAAACAATTCATCAAGCTACTTTGTTTTTTAAGCTTGAGCAAAAGACAAATCATTTGTTTTTTGATTAGAGTACAAGAAAAAAAAATTGTATAATAATACTATAATCAGATTATTGCAACTTTCGTCTGCTTTCCTCTTGATTCTTCCTCTATCTGTACCTTTGGACAGCTTTTTATTTTCTCCCCCTCACTATATTTCCTCTCTTCCCCACAAAGTAATTCTGAAATATACATTTGGTACCCACGATAGGTTAGATATACTTAAACTATATGACTAGTTTCAGCCTAGAAGGTTCACTCCTAACCATGTTGCAAAATAATTTCCCCGTAAAGTAGGATAAAAATTCCCCCTCCACCGCAGTAACTGTTAAACTATTCCCAATTTTAACCATCCTACACTAGATTGGACAATCACCTGATCGAAAAGGCATATAAAAATATAAAATAAAATTTAAGGTTTTTAATTGGAATCAAAGCAATTATACTTAGGATATACATAATACAGTTAGCCTGGTTTATTTTTATTCAAAAAAATTGATTGATAAATTAATATCTTATTCTGAAAAATTGGCAATGGATGCTAAGATTGCAGTTTGATAAGTTTGCTGCATATTTAAATTTTTCAGTTTTTCTTTTCTTTTATTGGTAAATCATAGCAATCTCTACTTTTTTTCTTTTCCTCACTTTCCTTTCCCTTTAAATTTTATTTCTCTTTAATCCATCCCCATGTCAGGAGAGGTGAGGAATAATCAAACTTTTCAATGCCCCTTTACAAAGGCCAATTTCTTTTATTTTTTGTCAAATTAATACTTGGGCAAGACCATTTTGGAACTATACCATGACTTCATGCATAAAAATTAAAAAGACGACAGAGTTTTTAAAATAATTTAAGCAGTATTTAGAGCACAATACTTTTTTTTTTTAAAAATCATTTCACTGTAAGCAAGGTAACAGAGCCATTAACAAACAGGCAGTTTTTGAGTGTGAAATAATAAGAAAAACATTAAGGAGTGAGAACAATAAAAGGACAGAAGATAATGATCGACTTAATCATATCAATTTGATTAGCTATTAAAATGATAGATCTCTAACCATAATCATTAAAAATTAATAGAACAGACTAGATTAGGTGCAATGTGATAAAAAATATTTAACAAAGTTTATCACGGGGCATCTAATTTGAGAGAAAGAAAAAAAAAAATTGTGAAGTTTTTGTTTTTTTATGTATCAACCACACTTCCTTTTATTGTTCATCAACATCATTATTTACTCAAGTCTTTCTATTTTACAATACATATTTACAAAAACAAAATCTTTTAACATTTGAACAAAAAGTGACATAGAAAATCTAGTTTATATAATGTTTGTCCTTGAATATCTTATTTATGGAAAAAATTGATTTTTTTTTCATTGATCTTCAAGCAATTCTTCAATAACAATCATAACTTATCTGTTGCAAATAGCAATTAGAAAATTTAAATTCTGTGACTATAAAAGTAACTACTTAAAACAAATATGAAAATATGAATCAGGTCAAAAGAAATTCCAATACCTTCTGGATACAAATGAATTCAATTTTAATGAATATTTTTAACATTAATTTAACTTTGTACACACCTAGCTTAATCTAATGAAACTGTCCTATTTAATTTTAGTTCAAAGCAAATTGAAGGGGAAAATTTTTATGTAAATACATAAATAGCACAATGTGCTTCATTTACTTGTGTTTTTAAGACTATTTATTAAAAACAGGAATCTATCCTCATCACTTTTACATTTTTTTTCCTCAACAGAAATACAATTCACAAAAGATGTGAAAATTTATTTAAGCAATAAACTAACAATTTCAAGCAGTTATACAGAGACTGATATTCAAAAGTTGAAATTCCTTAGATATACATTATTTTTTACATTATATCCCCAGTTGAAATATAATCAAAGATGCAAGAGAAAAAATAATGCCAACAAAATTTTACTTCAGTAAGACAATCATTTTAACACACACAACTTTATTCTATCAGTGACACTTGCATTAATTCCTAACCACTGAATCCCTCTCTTTAATAAGCAACATACAGAAAGAGTACTTTTCAACCAAATTGCAAAATTCAATGTTTAATCAATATATTCATTAGAGTGCATCAAAACATTTAATAAATCCTACTCATGATATAAGTTACATAAAAAGGTAAGTTTTAAATAAACATGACAATGGATGATCAATTACTCATCTTCTAAAATAAATGACTGAATCAAATTTGGTAGCATTAGATTCAACTGTTTGTATTTGCCTATTTAAAAAGTAGATATTGATAATTATAAATGCTTCTCAACCAGTCAATGAAAGATGAATTTAGCAATGTTACCTACTATGCAATGTTGCAAAATAACATTAAACACCTACTTTATTACTAATTAGGATCTCTCATAAGTACATACATTCTTCGTACAAGAAAAATATCAGCCTTCAATAAGAGTGTTTTGTATGCTTTTTTTCTTTTAAAAACCTTGACTAGTACAATGAGAAAAAGTACAAGATTCCAATCGACATGGAAATAAAATAAAATATATATATATATATATATATATATATATATATATATATATATATATATATATATATATGCACTATAGTAAATTATTAGTACAAATTAAAAATTATTCAGTATATCTGGGCTAAATATGAAACTCCATATAATTCATCAAAGTAAAGTCTTGTATTAAGATTTTTGAAGGCTTGCTACTAAATACAGGAAATGATACAGCATTTGCTATCATAAAAAGAAATTAGGATATTTACATCCTGCAGAAAAGAGCCAGGTAAAGTAATGTTTAAAAACACATTAAGTAGAATGCGAACTTAAATACCTGTGATAAGGCAGTATAAAAAAAAAATAATAGCTAGTAGTTATTAGTATTAAAAAAATGATCAGTCCCATATTCTGGTAACATTAGTCATCCGCTACAACTGATGAAATTGATCTTTCTCTAAGTATAATTATCAACAGCAAAACTAAAATTTAACTAATCTTACAGAAAAATACTAAGAAAGCAGTAAGGCAAGTTGTCTTAAAGGAAAGCCATGAGAATGTGACAAATAGTTGAATAACTAAATGTTTAATTATAGTGTTAATAACGGAATCCATTTAATGTGCAATTTGTTATACACAAGAGAAAAATTTCTATCATTTGTATAATGATTCAATAAACTGTTTAAAAAAAGAAAAAAAAAAAAAAATGAATAATTATTATTAGAGATGATAATTCTCTTATTTATGTTTTAAACCGAGTAACAGGCATTATAGATGTTGAAATTTTTCTTAGCAGATGTATACAGCAGTTTGATAAACATTTCTGAACTAAAAATATCTTGAATCTACATTCCACTTTATAAGCAATAATTTTAATATTCAACGAGTCCTCTTTTAGTATTGGAAAGAGTTCAAAATGTAAATGATTTAAAAAAAAAAAAAAAGGGGGGGGAACATGTTTAATGAAAAAGAAAAACAGATTTTAAATTAAGAAAATAAAATCTAACCATTAAGCAACTGAAGCTATTCAGAAAATTAAAATATTTAGATTAGAGATTACATACCTAATTTACAATTTTTCGAGAATTTTACAGTATTTCTCTATAGAATATTTAATTTAATCTTTCTTGGCCCCTTGCAAAATAGCAAGGGACCAGGAAAGGGAACAAGATTATAATAAATAAATAAATAAAATAAAAAGGAGCCCAGTTCCCCAACTTCTTCCATTGTGGGGAAAATTGGATCTTACTTTGTGTGGCTTATTTATGCGTGAAATCTGTGATTTTGACAAATTTTTCATAGGAAAAAAGAAAAATAAAACAGTCAAAATTTTGCAACCGCCGCTTCGGCACGCACACACAGACACAGAGTTGAAAATGTGCAAAGATGATGAAGGGAAAAAAAGAGTCCGAACAAAGATATTGAGATTTACTTTTAAACAAAAACATTTAGAATCCAGATTAAGAAAAAAAAAAAAAAAAAAAAAAAAAATGTTCGTAGCAAGGTTTTGATGGAGACCAATAACGAGTTAAAAAAAAAAAAAAAAAAAAAAAAACGGGGGGGTTTTTTTTTTTTTTTTTTATTGCTAGTATACCTAATGACACGCAACACCAAAAAAAATAAAAAGAAAAAAGAAAAAAAACTAAAGTATTTATTTTCCTCATCCTAAACAACACTAAAAACAGGAAGGAAAGCATCCGCCATATTCAAACCCGAACAAAAGAGCTAAGGCAAGTTGTTGGAACAAAAAACAGAAAGGCATTGCTTCCAGGGACCAAACGCACATTGACTATATACATATATAATTATTTGATTCAAACTACATTTATTTAAAAAATATTATTTGTACTAAGTAACTATACATATACTAATTAAATTTAAACAGAATTCGTTTAAGGAATATGCTTCATTGGTACTTAAAATTTATTTATTTACAGTGCACACACTAAAAAGATTTAAATTCAAATAAATCCAATGTAATAGGAAAAGAAAAAGGCGAATTCAATAATGTCAAATCAGTCAGGTTTCAAAGTATAGTAATTGTGTAATGAAACAATACTTAGCAACCGTTTTGGAAGCCTTTCGAGAGTAATAAGTCACTATGACTACTCCCTACAAGTTTTTTTTACTCATTTTATATAATTTGAGTGTGAGTCTCCATATCCCAGCTACGACCGAAAGGAAGATAATTAGTGACGACGATAAAGTCAGGTATGGCTCAGAATTGGGAGGGAGGGAGAAGAAATGCACTGAGGTTATCACATCTGATACCATCACTATGTAACATTTACACACGCAGAAAATTAGAAGTGGACACAAAATCGGGGATCTATGCAGTTCTCATTTTTGTATTAATCGATTGTTTGCAATAATCCCATCTTTGTCATCGTCATTGCACCACCCTCTCGTCGTTGACACGTCAAATCAGGCACCCACTAATAAATTTATCATCCACAGAACATGAGCTAATAAATAATCGATGATCGATTATCAATTTGTACAAGAAATGTGTGTAATGGTTTATTTTAGTACCTCACAGTGTACGATACACGAGCAACATTTTAGTGTTGAATGAAGAAATTCCATGTTGATTTTCATTTCAGCTTTTTTATATAAAAAAAAAAAAAAAAAAAAAAAAAAAAAAAATAAATATATTCTGTCAGGAGTGTGACAATCCAAGTTATTGACGAAATGTTTGGGTCAGAGAATAGAATAGACAAAGATAAATAATCACTAGTAAAGTAAGTTTATAATGGATTAAATAAAGATGTGATTGATATGAATATTTATTTTGAATTTCATAATGAATCGTGGAAAAAAAGAGGAAAAAAAAAAAAAAAAAAAAAACGGCTCAAAAGTCAACTGTCCCCAAATTTAATATTCGTTCGCAAGTCTAAAACATTTTTTTGCCCTTTTAGATCGATTAAATTTTTTTTCTAAAAATTGAATAAATAACGCAGAACGTAAATATTTCCTTTTAAAGTCTAAATTACAAAAATAAAAAAAAAGATTTCTTTTTAGTTAGACTTTAGGAAATTTCCCTTACAGGCCCTACTATTTTTTTAAAAAAAAAAAAAAAAAAAAAAAAAAAAAAAAAGGACGATGTTGGCATTTATTCAACAATATTGTCATCCAAACAAGCAAGGAAAAGTTAAAATTAAAGTTTTTACTTTAGTGACAATTTTGCGAAATCAAGCAAGGAACATATTCAATAAACAACAAAAAGGCCTTTTTTAAGGCTTAAAAAAAAAAAAAAAAAAAAACTCATTGTAAGTAAACATAAAAAATTGAGACGATGAGATTCTTCTGCGATAAAAAAAAATAAATAAAAATTAAAATCAAACTTAATCCCAATACGACTTTGAAATAGTCATTCTTATATAAATTATAGATGTTAATTAGGTGGAATAAAACTTCTATATAATAATAATAATAGAACGAAATTAAAGAAAGACTTGTAGTACGTATGTATCGAAAGTAGAGATGGAAAGAATTAAATCGAAATGGACCCTCACTTTATGACCAACAAAAAGAGTTGTGATCAGAGAATTCGTCAGAAAACATCTTTCGTCTTTAACTTGGACTTCTTTTTCAGCTATTGTATATAAAAGTCTACTTACCAAGGTAGATATCTCCGAAAGAGCCGCTGCCAATCTTTCGGCCAAGACGGTACTTATTACCAACTCTGAGTTCCATCTGTGATAAAACAGCCACCAAGGAGGAGAAAGAAAAAAAAGAAAGAAACAATCAAATTGTTAATGCACCGCCACTACATTTTATCATCTGAACACACACACACATTTCAATCGGTCCAGAGACAAATTACAAATAGCTTTTCTCATTCCCCAACCATACAGCGAGAGAATGGACTTTATCATGTTCAGGGATTCTAGATAAATGCTTAAATAATTTATTCATGAAATTTAGGGTCTATTTGAAATGTGGAAGCAATACAACATGAACAGAGAAAGGGTCAGTGTCATACGCTGACTCCATCATGGGATTTTCATTACAACTGAGAAAACAAATCACAACATACACAAAAAGAGAGGGGAGGTATATTTGGGATTAAATTTTCTAGCGTACCTTGGCAGCGGCAACACACCAAAGTCCTACGATGGAGAAGAGAACACACGGAATTATCAGCTAAGGCAACCGCTGGGCATCTCTCTTCCTAATTTGAGCCAAGATGCTAACGATCGCATTTGGTACTATGCGATTTATGCCGCCACCATTATTTGTTCTATTGGTGGTTTCTGTCATCTGCGCGCATGCGTCTTTTCCAACTTAAATGCCCGGATCTTGTACTGTACTCATACGGCTGCTTACACACACAAAACAAAATGTAAGGAAAAAACAAATAGTCCCGGGAAAATCTTAATTAGTACTCTTCAATCTTCATTATAATAAAAATTGTGTGCTAACTAAAAATAACAGGATCCATAAATAAATGGAGATTTTTTTTTTAATTATAACAATAATGTCATCAGCATAGACCTTTAAATTTCATTCAGAAAAAAAAAAAAAAATCAAATATTTTTGTATAAATAATATTTTCCCTAAATATTCAACAATCCATTAGATCTATTAATTAAGATTTAAAATTAAAAAAATTATTTTCATCTTTTCTTAATTTCTACCTAGAATGTATTTCTTACTGCTACAGATAACTTTATGATCTTGTGCTCTTAGAAGCAAAATTCTGGAAATATAACAAGAAATATTTAATTGAAACCAAAAATAAGTAAGGACTAATAATAAAGTCAAATCTTAAAAACACAAACAAGTTCAGCTTGTTGAATACAAGTTCAGTTATAAATTAAGCATATTTGATTTAAAAATAAAGCAATGTATACTTTATAAATTCTCATTTTTTTATATTACAGATCAAGATTTAAAAAGAAAATATACATCTTTTAATGCACAAGAAAAATTGTCACTTATGCATAAAGGTGAAATAGCATAGCTTGAATTGATTCTTCCAAGATTCATTGTGATTGCATTTTAAATGCATATAGAATTCATATATTCTTCATATGCACAAAAATCACCTAAAATATTTTTAATTAGAGAAAACTTTTAATAGTAAGAATTATTAACTTAAAATTTAATTGGAAGAATCACTAACTAAAGAATTTATAATAGTTAACTTATAATCTCTGAAAATTCTCTTAAGCTGAAATTAGAATTAACCCAAACCCTAAAATACAACGAAGAGAAGTTTTTTTTTATCATAAGCCAACATATACTGATGAAAAATAAAACTGCAAAACTAAATGTGTGTTCCAATTTAATTGCAATTAACATACAATTAGTATAGCTGGATTACAGTAAATTATCACATATACAACAGATCAATACATACAAGCATTCCAAAACAAGATGTATATCAACAGTATTGAATATTCTTCTTGGGCATTAACATAAGCTTGTACTCTCACATGCATTCAATCATGCAGATAGCAAATACTATCCTGTGATACACAATTCCATGACCCCTTGTACCTGTTGGCACAATACACCAGTGGGCTGGCTAATTGTCAAGTACAATTTCATCATGTTTAATACAAGCTCAATGGGTGACAGGTATGATGTTTGTGCTGGCCAGGGAAGTTGTCAAAACATCTTACAGAGCATGTCGGGTAGGCATTATCCTGCTGGAACAGCACACCACTCTCCTGTTGCAGAAATGCCAATAGAACAGGTTGATCAATATTTTGTATATACTTAGCACAGTTTAACTTTCCCTCCACAAACACCAAAGGTGAATAAAAGTTATCACTTATGGCACCCTAAGTTGCAGCGTGGTCTATGTGTCATGGAAAAAAAAAAACATGCATGAAGACAAAACCTAAAATATATTTTTCCACACATGTACAGATGTAGGCAGGATTAAAGCATTAGTTAACTTAGACATTTAGATGCCATAACGTAAACAACATATGGATGTAGTTTCAGCAAAATAACAAAACAAGCAAATCAGAATTAAGAATTCAACATTGGCCAATCAAAGCAGAAGATGAAGAATCTAAAATTGTGTCAAGTTGAGCCTATCTCTACCAATATAAGCAGAGGAGAATCAGCACTTAATTATTTAGCTGTATAGTGACAGAGGAGAAGCAACCATATTGACAGAGCAGGGACAACACATCTGCTCAACACATTCAACTCACTAGTCCCAGATGTAAAATTTGACATGAGAACTAATGCTCCACCAATAGATAATTGGATTTATTTGTAAGTATGAGCTTCGGATACTAAAACCAAATATGCTCCTGAAAAGTTTACATGTGTGATTTATGACCAGTGCTTGCCATTCTTACAGTGAACTAATTTTTTTTCTTTTCCACAGCACCAGTATTCTTTCCAATAAATAGTTGCTATTGTTTGCTCTATAAACCCATGTTTGTGTTTATTCACGTTTCTGTAGTTGGAGGCATTGCTAACTTAGAGCTGATGAAACAAATTGTACCAACCACACCCTCTACAAATATTGCAGAACACCATTCAATCCCTCACTTGTCCATCTCATGACACCAGTGGAAACATGTATGACAGGAACTGTGGCAGGTCTGGCTAGAGGCACACATGCCCATAGTCCTACTGCAAGTAAACTATTTCAAATTGTTCATGTGGATGTTCTTGGAGCTACATTTGCTCCGACCTTTGACTTGAATGCCATATAATCTGTCATTGCAGCTTTTATAATGTGTTGGTCTTGACAAGCATTCAGAACCTTGTACAAGGATGTAAGAATATTCATTTGATCACTGTTGCCAATTCTAAAGCCCTACTGTTGCATCATAACCAACAAACACAGCAATTCTCTGAAATGACCATCCAGCCTCTGAAAGGCCTACAACTTGATCCTTCTCAAATGGCTCTAATTAAACAAAAGGAGTATGTGTGCATCTCCATAGCATGACACCTGCTGTTTAACTACACTGAATGTTATTTCAGCATGCATCATTGTGTAAAGCTCAAACACAGTGCATCACAAGGACTGAAAATTTATCAGAATATCTACTACCCCTGGACTAGCATACACATAACTGTACCCAGGTCAAAAATCAGTATTGTCCTTCAGGATGTGGCAATTTTTCTTTATGTCTGTATATAATTCTTTTAAAATAAATAAATAAATGGTCACATAAAGTATTTTACTTGATAATGAATAACCAAGAACTCAAAGAAATTTGTCACATACAATTCTAACTTCAAATATCGACCTGACTCTAATTAGGAAAAATATTTTAATGATCAAACATTCGGTTTTTTGAAAAAAAGCTTACAAATATTTGACACATGGAATAAGGTACAAAACTATTGTTAAAAATAAATTTTAAATCATTACTTTTGTTATAAATGAATTTAATATTAAAACAATGTACTCCAATGTTGTGTATTTCCAGGGATTTTGCCAATCTTCCAATATCATCCATGTTTAATAATAGATTTACAATGCAAATAAAATTATAATCAGTTGTGAACATTGCCAGGAAAAATAAATAGCAAGTTAGTCTCACAAAGAACTGTATATGTATTCAATTCAATCTTCACTGGATGCTCTACATTTGTAGACTTATGTCAGACTAAGCTAATTATGAATCAGAAAAATTATATAAATTTATTAGAATATTATTCACTATTTCTGTCCCTTAATAGTCATTACATTTGTATACAGATTTCAAACACTAGAATATAATTATTATGGAATAGAAGTAGTATAAAATTTATATTTATATTATGATTATATATTTGAATTAAAAAATTCTTAAATTAACAGGATCTAAAACTATTTCCAGTGTCAGTTTTACTATTTCAATTAATCTAATGCAAAATATTTACTGTTAAAATGTTTAGAACAATTAAAAAGAAAACAAAATAGTCATTTAAAAGCAAAAATCCTTAAAGACTTACCACTGTTCAAATTTGAATAATTAAAGAAAAAAATCTTTAGTTGAAATGGAATAATGCAAAGTACTTGATGTAAGCTTTTAATAATCTAATCAACTCAGTGAAATCTGTATAAGGTCATGAAAATTCTAGATTTGTAAAAAGACAAAAAGAAACATGCAATTTGAATGACTTAGAAATTAATATTGCCATAAGAAAAAACAAACAAATCTTTATCTGTTTATAAAAATGTTTTAAAAATAACTTAATCAAAGATTCTATTTAAATATTTATTTACAAGTTTATTCCTAATAGGTTTTGCTGAAAAAGAAACAAAAAGACAGTTTTTTGTCAGGTCTGTTGAACCAAATTTAAACAAATGCAAGACTTTTTAAAATATTGAATACAAAAATCAGTATTTGTTTTCTTTCTGTGGATATTTTTGTAAACAGCTCTCAAAATTAATTTTTTCTCTGCTAAATTTAAAAACCAATTTACTAATGTATGTATTTTTAAAATTACAGTTCACCCAATACAAGGCTCAAGAGCCACTTAAGGTAGAAGATCACTGAACATGAACATAACAGGAGGACATAGGAAGTGAAGATTATGAGAATATGGTAGATAAATAATGACTGACCCTAGATTTGAAGTAGTTAAGATTGTAGAGTTTAGGAAAGCATCTACACAGGTGTCTGTTCCATAACACAGCAGTTCTTGGGAAGAAACTTTCAGAGTGGAACACTCTTCTTATCAAAGGAATACATTGGGAATGAAGGTGATTCAACCTTGCATACTTAGTAAGGTGGGTCTTAGCTGAAAAGGTCCGAGCTGGTGTCACTAAAGAAAGGAGCTTATTGGAACATTTGCCATTTGAAGTAGTGATAGAGTAGTGACAGGCTTGAACATTGTGTCTGTGGGAAAGCAATTCTAAGGTGGGAAATAAGCAAGTTTGCTCCTCATTGGGTGTTTTATTACAATGACATTGTGCCACATTGAGTTAAACTTAATAATTCTAAGGCTCGATTTAGTCATCATCATCATCAGAGCTGTTTCAACTTGAAGGTACACTGCAAATCAGCACAATTTCTCATTCAATTAACTTATTTAATTCCTCTTATCACTCCTCTCCAAACCTCCCTGTCCTGAACTATCTCATGAAAGTGCTTGGAAAGCTCTTCAAATCTTTTCCAGACAATTACGGAATTTTATTGACAGTTCTTTTAATGTTGTTGTTCAGTGTGTATATTATGGTTGTGGTCTTCCACAA